CTGACCTCAGGGTCTTTGCACTTGCCCTCTTCCCCTCTGCTGGGAGGGAGGATACTCTCACATCCTATCCTCTTCCCCCTCAACATTGTTACTACAGGTAAAGTAGACTATGTTTTACAAACAACAGGTAGCAATTCTTGAGTCATAAAATTAATCTAGTGAATAGTGATTCAATTAAAAATATACATATCTATATATATAAAAACCTAAGTGACCGCCCAACCGTTCGACCATCTGACTGGTAGCTATGACACACAATGACCACCAGGGGGAAGACGCTCAACGCAGGAGTTGAGATGCCCAGCTGCAGTGACTTGGCAGCTGCGGTTCTCAGGTGATGCACCCGGAACCAGAGAGGAGGGAGCCCAATTCTGGGGTGTGTTACCCGAGAACCGCCCTCTTGAAATCCAGGGGATGTTGGAGAGCTGGTCGGAGAGCTGGTTTCAAAAAACCTTTTATTTGTATATGTGTGTGGTGTGTACTTAGTCACAATATAAAATGTACTTCTAACTGTAGATCATGGTCAAAAAAATTTTTTTAGACATTTTGTCTAGAACAAGTAGAAATGAAATCATCTACTACCTTGACCTTCTTTATGATACTGCATTTCTAATTATTTACTTAATGTCACTATTCCTCTAGTGAGTAGACTGGGAATGTGGCTCAAGCTAATAAGGGACCAGATTATTCAAGCCTTTTTAAGGATTTTAGATTCTACCCTAAGATAAATGGAAAATGACTGAACTGTTAGATATTTTTTGTTTAGCTACATTTTATTTATCTTTAACTGTGATTAAATATAAAGGGAATTGGGAACTAGGATTGAATGAGGGCTTTCTGATAAATGTTCTATTCCTTTAATAAACATTTTTTATTATATACTGTGTTTCAGGAATAGGTTTATAGTCTATACTCTTATCTGAAAAACAGGTTTAATAATACTTATGGAGTTACTGTGAACATTAAGTAAGTTTAGCATATTATGTACACAGTCAAGAGATGTTTTAGTGACCTTTTCATTACTTGCACCTCTTTAGGACCACATCCTGAAAGGAAGATGCCTTGTTTTGATGATAATGTTAGTTATACAATTACCAGAATAAATAACATAAGTTGAGAATGATAGCTAATTTAATTTCCCTGTATTTGAAAGAAGGTAGCTACTACTCTCATTTATTTGAAAAGAAGGTAGCTACTACTATCATTTTTTTTAAAAAACACCAGGCTATTGCCATAGGAAAATATGATGATGACATAATTCTGAAATGGTAAAGTTATGTCAGAATGAGTTTTTTAAAAACATGTTTTTAATGACTTTTTAGAGAGAGAGGAAGGGAGAGGGAGGGAGAAACATCAGTCAGCTGCCTCCTGCACACCTTCTTCTGGGCACTGAACCTGCAACCCAGGCATGTGCCCCACAGGGAATCAAACTGGTGACCTCTCACTCAGTGCATGGGATGATGCTCAACCAACCGAGCCACACCAGCAAGGGCCAGAATGAATTTTTTAAATAATTGAACATGGGATCCTTCCATTTTTCCGTCCCCTGCCCCCAAATGTAATATTATTTATCTGACCACATTTCTTTTTGAAGGCAGAAAACGTCAAAATGGAGTAATATTTCCACTTATTTCTATTAATTTCCCTTCCCCCTTCAGATTTCACCACCCAATCCTCAGCCCTTTGGAAAGCAGTTTCCAGCTGGAAGTCGATGTCCTGAGTCATCTCCTGAAAGCCCAGGCTCAGGTCTCAGAGTGGAAGTTCCTGCCGTCTCTGGTTAACTTGCACAGCGCTCACACCAAGCTGCAGACCTGGGGCCAGATCTTTGAAAAGCAGCGGGAGACCAAGAAACATCTGTTTGGAGGGCAGTCTCAGAAGGCCGTTCAGCCCCCACACCTTTTCCTTTGGCTGATGAAACTCAAAAACATGCTTCTTGCCAAATTTAGTTTCTACTTTCATGAGGCACTGAGCCGACAAACGACTGCTTCAGAAATGAAAACGTTGACGGCAAAAGCCAACCCAGACCTGTTTGGAAAGATTTCCAGCTTCATCAGGAAGTACGATGCTGCCAACGTGTCTTTAATCTTTGATAACCGAGGGTCTGAGAGCTTTCAGGGTCACGGCTATCACCACCCCCATTCCTACAGGGAGGCCCCCAAGGTGTGGACCAGTATCCAGCCGTGGTGTCTCTGCCCAGCGACAGGCCTGTCATGCACTGGCCCAACGTCATCATGATCATGACGGACCGCACCTCCGACCTGAACAGCTTGGAGAAAGTGGTTCACTTCTACGATGACAAAGTTCAGAGCACCTACTTCCTAACCCGCCCAGAACCCCACTTTACCATTGTCGTCATTTTTGAGTCAAAGAAATCTGAGAGAGACTCCCACTTTATTTCCTTCCTCAATGAGCTCTCACTTGCCCTTAAGAACCCCAAGGTTTTTGCAAGTCTGAAACCTGGATCCAAAGGTTAGCAGGTTATCTGTGTGAAAGGTTTTCAAGAGAAGAAATTGTGTTCTTAATTGCTCTAATGATCTACAATGGGCTGTGATTAGGGTTTCGATCCATCCATGCTTCTTTCAGAGCTAAATTAAAGACAAAGCCTCCCTAATTGTGTCGCACACTTTATATGCAATTAAGGCCAATTAAGTAAAGTATCCAAAGGGTAATCTAGGCTACAGTATATCTCCATGGTACAGCAAAGTACTCTCAGTATTTTCTCCTGTTTTCCTGTATTTTATGTAGACTGAATATTTATTAGCCTTTGATGTTTCTTTCCAGATGTTTCTTTCCAGACGTTTTATATTCCAAACATTGTGTTCTAATGCCATTCCAAACGCCCTCTCCTTTCCCCTCCCACTCAGATGAGTAATTGGGATAAGATATTAAATGGCCATTTTAGAATTAAGGATTATATGTTTCCTATCTCATAAACTAGCCAGTTAACATGAAGTTACTAGTTTTATGATTCCGATCTACAAATGAATATTTTTGATGCCAAAATTAGAGTCTTGGTGAGAAATGTCCTCCAGTTATTAAAGTTGAAGGTAAATCAGAATAGTAGGATAACATCAGATCTTACCAGTTCAGAAGATCCTATGGCAACTTTAATAGCCATGGGTTCTTTTGGGGTGATCTACACACCTAACTGCATTTGTTTTTACCCTTATAAAGTTTGAATGTTTCACTCTATTTTAAAGTCAGCATAAGCCGTTATGTGGGATATTTTCACATAGTATCTGCTTGGCTTTCTGTTTATCACCTTTCTGCTGAAATGTATGTTCATATTTGGCTCTACCCTTGGTTATTTTTAGGCTGAAAAAGCATGCAGTCTTGGTTTTTCAGCCACTCTTAAACATTCATGTGACTCAGCCTACTTTCATAAAATCAAAATGGAATCGCTGCACTTGTTAAAAATCAATTGTGCATTCAAAGGACCTCTTCATACTTGTGTAATCAACTCAGTACTTCAGCACATCTGAACTTGGGATTCGTGTCTATCTCCTCCAAATATTTTTAGAAGTAGTGCTACATCTTAACACATGCTGCCTTAACCCTTTTCTTCAGTATGTGTTCAGGAGGAAGAAGGCATAATGGGGCTGTGGAGACCTTCACCTCTAGCTTATTGATTCAGAATAAAAATAAGCCACAAAGAGTAATTGAGTTATTATTTGATGTTTCCTTCGAAGCTTGTGTGTCATGTAATAGTCCAGTCAGCCCTGTTTCTCATGATTGCTCAGAGCGAGCACAGCAGACAAGCCGGAAGCATTGGCCGAGATCAGAGGAGCCCCTCCGAGTCCAAAGGAGGCCCCCCTGAGTCTGGACTACTTGGAGGAAGAACCCACTGACCTATTTTCTGGAGAGAACATGTGCTTTCTTTTCTTTTTCCCTTTTAAAAAAATAAAAGTCATATGATTTGTAAAAAGCCAATTTGCTTTAAATAGAAAGTAGTGATTTACCTCTGCATTTTATTCACTCAGGTTCTATAAAAATCTGAACAGACTGTACAACTTTGACCTTCCATAAAACATTGAAAACAATTGGAACTAAAAAGTTAAATCATTTTTCCTCCCTTTTGTGCTTTTCTAAGAAGCTGCAAAACATTCCTTGGCATGCATGTATTTTTTTTTTCCTAGATAAAACCACCATTAGCCTTAAAGAAAATATGCTTCATTATAACATGGAGAAGAGTGTAAATAAACATATATACAGTACTTAAATACTCGCCTAGAACATATTTGAATTGTATATTTATTTTTAAATATATTTTGGTTCAGGCCAAGAAACAAAGTCACTTTACTCTGAGATTTGTCCTCTAAATTCAGTAATGAAGTGATCTGTAAAGTGTATGTTTTGCTAATTGGAAGAGTAAACCTGCATATTTCCCACAGACTGTTTATTTTGAAATTTGTTTCTAAACCACAACTTGATCGATTCTTATGGGTAACCAAGAGTGTGGTCAACACTGAGTTTATGAGTCCATCAAGGAGTGTTGCGTGTTAGGATGCTGTTTGAACACAGGGTGAATGTTTACCACTGTCTTCTCTTAGGTCCAGCCTGGTATCTGACTGTGTCTTTTAGGGAGTGTGTGAAATAGAGCCTAATTCTTAACAGAGGAACCAAAATCCTTTACATAGTCACTTTGCAAAGTGATTTTTGTTTATTTGGACATATTAGAGAAAATTTACTTTCAAGAAAAAAAATAGTTGGTAATTCACTGCACTCCCAGGAGAGTCACTCAGATGAAGTTTAAAATACTGGGTCCACCCTTAGATCCAGCAGCAAAAGTGCAGTTTTGTTTCTTTGGCAAACAGCCTATGAACTTGACTTCCTTATCTGTAAAATGGGGATAAGGAAATGTGGGCTCTTTTTCAAAGACTATGTAAGAATGGGATGAGATCATGGAGTGTAAAAAAGGCTCCGAAAACATACTTGGGTTTGAAAGTTGTATCAATAAAAGATGGACCGCTCTTTCCTTAAACTCAAGGCCTCTCCTGTTCTCATTTTTCTCTTCAGGTCTGTGACAAACCTGTGCTGAGTCATAAGTTTGAACACACTTAACTAGTGTAGAAGAGGAGGCAGATAAATGCCTAAGCAACCCACCCACTCTTCTTAATTTAGAATCTTCGTGGTTCTTTGTTCCTAAGTTTTTTTGGTTGATGGATAGCATCACTCAGTCCTTCTATATCCAAACTGTTTTGTTTTTGTCAATTCCTCAGAGAGGTGTGTTAAAGTCTCCAACTGTGATTGTGAATTTTTCCTTTATGTCTGTCAGTTTTTGTATTTTGAAGCCCTTTTATTAGGTTGGTACACATTTTTAATTTTTCTGTCTTTCTCATGTATAAA